CTCACATATTGAAGGACATTTTGGTTGCCTCCACCTTTTGACAATTATAAACATTCACGTGCAGGTTTTGGGTAGATGTGTTTTTAACTCATTTGGGTAAATACTTAGGAGTGCAATTATTGGATCATATAGTAAGACTATGTTTAGTTTTGGAAGAAACCACCCAACTGTCTTCCAAAGTGGCTATTGTAGTTTGCATTCCCACCAGCAATGAATGAGAGGTACTGATGTTCTACCTCCTCACCAGAAACTGATGTCAGTGTTTTGGATCTTTGACATTCTTACAGGTGTTCAGTGGCATCTCATTGCTGTAATCGCAATTCTGTGACATATGATGTTGAATATTTCTTTCATACGGTTATTTGCCATTTGTATATCTCTTTGCCATTTGTATATCTCCTTTAGTGTTTACGTCTTTATTTTTAAGTGAGTCAGTTGTCTTCTTATTGATTTATAAGACTTCTTTTTATATTTGAATGCCAGTCTTTTATCAGATATGTGTTTTGCAAAGATTTTCTCCTAGTCTGTGATTTCTTTCCACTCTCTTAAACACTTTGCTTATATACATATATTTTTGGGGTCATTTTGTTAAGTTTAAAAAAACACCCTATTGGGATTTTGATCAGAATTACATTGATTATATAGATCAGTTTGGGGGGAAATAACATCATTTCAATATTGAGCCTTCCATGACATTTATTTAGATTTTCTTTAATGTCTGTCAACAAAATTGGAAATATTACCTTTTAAACAAGATTGTTTAATAGTTTCTGATATCCATAAGTGTAACTGACTTTTATATATTGATCACTACCCTGCTAAACTGTCTTCTTAACTCAAACAATTTATCCTTAGATTATTTTGGGATTTTATTGTATCTTCTTTGAATATGTTTTTTCTTCTTTTCCAGTTCTCATATTTTACATTTTATTTTCTAGTAAGCTAGTTAAATATTGAATTGTGATAGCAGGCATCCTGATTTTAAAGAAAATCCTTTTATTGTTGGCCCCTTAAATATGATACACAATTAAGTGTCTTACTTATCCTTTGTCTGGTGAAGAATGTTCCTTCCTATTCCTAATTTGCTAGGGGCTTAATATGAATATGTGTTGAATTTTATTGAATTATTTTGGAACTAAAGGGAAATTTCCTTTTGGTTTTGTTGCCTACAGAAACTTCATGCCACCCAAGAATAAACCTGTAAGGCTGGACATGCTCGAACTGGTTTTGTTTGGGAGGAATACTGAATGGGTCATCCAAGAAACCGAGCCCACCTAGGATTATAAAAAGTTTTCATTGATTAATTGAAATAATAAAATCTCTTATTATTTCCCCTCTAAGCAGGCAATCAAGTTAGCCAATTACTGGAAATTATTACTTGACTTCTCTTGAGCAGTATGTAACTCCAGGCATACCTTGGTGTAAAATTAAAATCATGAATATATTTCCAGAGGGGTTTGCCTAGGAAACACTCAGTTCAGAGGCGTAGAATAGCCAATTCAGCATCCCTACATTTAGGAAGCTCAGTTATTTTATGTGTTCTGGCAGCATACATCCTTCGTGCACCACACACTGTATCTGTATTAAAGTTGGAAAATCCAGCAATGAGGAGAGGTGGTAAGGAAAGAAGCAGAAAACAGAGAGACAATAGTAAGATCCCCTAGTGGCAGAGCATAGCAACCCCACACATTAGAGCAAAGTGGATGCAACCCATCTACGAGCCAATGGGGGTATTGCTATAATCTTAGGGTCAACCTGTTTGTGTTAGAATCCATTATTTTTTTCCTGTTGTTTACTGTATACTAATACTCAGTGAAATGTTTATTTTTACCATGAGTACAAAATAGGTGTTCCTTCATATTTATTTTCTTGGCTATATTTTGTATCAAGTTTTTACTTGACTCCTTTGGCTACTGTATAGAAAATTGTTCTTATGTATTCTGTCTCATTAGTTGACTTGTACTAGTTTTCACAAAAATTTATTCAAATTTCTTACATGTGATTTTCTTTCGGTTTCTAGTAGTCTTTGGAAGAGTTTATTGAAATCTATACAGTATTCCATATAGGATATGGGTTTTATTTACCAGTAAATTTGTTTTGTAGCCTAATCAGTACTGAAACTCACTAATATAGATATACTTATTTTTAACCATATGATTTTATATTTTTTTCAGAGTTAGTAGAATATTGGTACATAACCATAAATGGTGATCTGGACTCCTTTATGTAGTTTACTGTAGCTATAGAACCACTTAAAAATCTCTTTAAAATGAATGAGATGAAAATTATTTCAATTTTTTCTTCCATATTTCTCCCCAAATTTCCTTGTAAAACTTATCTGCCAGTGAATACAATATATATTGACCTTTTATTGGATGCAACCACATGCTTTGCTCTTTACACCCTTATGAATTATGTACATGGAGCTTACACAGCATTCTCTGGAAGTATTTTTCTGGTCTAAGCCTGTCCCTGGAAGCCAGCCACCCAAGTTAATGGGCACAAACAAAGCCCTGTGGTCTCCTGAACTCCTGCCCATCAGCACCTCTACACTGGCCTACAAACCTGCAAGAGAAAGGAAACAGAAATCTGGGCAGTGTTTGTTCTTACTGTCAAGGAATGACTTCACTGCCAAAGGTTATGACTTTGGACAAGCTGGTGGGTGGGCTTGGATTTTTACCACTGAAATGTCAAACCAGGCCACATCATTAGTGCACAGAGAATGCTATATGTACATTTTTAAAGTAGGAAACATTAACGCTTTTATGAGCCTTGTATAAACTGCATGGTGTTTGTCAAGGCCAAAAAGGGTGCTTTATATAAAACTTAGATGATATGCTTAGGCCAGTTTTTTTTCTTTTATTTTAAATCTTGTGATAATGTTCTTTTTTTTCTCCAGTGGTTTGGCAAAGGCTCTTACTTGGTTAAAATCAGTGAGTTGGGATTTGATCAATTCCTTCTTTTGTTTCCAAGGACTCTAAATAGTCAATCTAGAAGCTCACAGTTGCAAGAGCACAGATTTAATAATGACATGGAAATGTCTAGTTGGGATTGAAGGTGCATCGCTCGCATTCCCTCTCTGTAAGGGTGTGTTTAAGGGGTGGGCTATGGGGACCAGAGCAGCAGATTTTTATGTCGTCAAGACACCAGCTTTAATGGGCCAGGTTCTCCCCATGTTGAGTATACTGCGAGGGTAACTGGTTGCTGTGGAAGCCTGTAATCTTCTTTGGGACCGCAGAGGACCATTTGAAGTTATTACTTTAAAATCAGGAAAACAGAACACAATTTTCACAAGGTAGCATTGCAGGTTAATCCCTAAACTTGCATGAATGGTATTTGGGGCTTTGCTGTGGAAAATAGGTGAACGATGGGCTTTGTACCATATTTGTCTGACAGCACCACCACTGGATGGCAGTAAAAATCCCTGGATTCCCCTCTGTTCTTTTTTTTCTTCTGCTCATTAGCTAGTCCTTCTTGTCCACTTGAAAAGACCATGCTTTTAGAATTAACTTTTGCCAGAACACCTTTAATGTGAAATGCATATGATGTTAGACTCATGTTCAAAAATGAAGAAAAAAAAGGAAAGCCAATTATGTGTACTATGATCAAAACTGGGTAGAGAAATCAGGATGACCACAAAATCAGGCAGTTTCGCCATTAGTTAAGGTCAATACTCAGTCACTATATCATTTCAAAATCAAATTAGGGCCAAAGTGATGAGAAATTGATTATACAAGAGGACTTCAGACATCCAAATATGAGGGAGAATGATGGTCTCGAAATAAGGACACAAGAGTTGTCTTTTCACTAGTTACCTTCAGAATTGAATGAAAGGTTATACAATCCCCAGGGTAGACTTTCAAAAGAGGACTCACAGGCACTCAAAATTCTCCATATCCAAAATTGAACTCATTACCTTAACTTCCAAGATTACTCATTCATTAATTCAACAAATATAAGACACCTACAGACTGGGGCTGAGGGTTGGGAATATGACAGTACCCAAGACAGACAAGGCTCCTGCCTCTGTAGAGCGCAGATGCTCCCTGCCTTATCTAGTCATCAAACCCAGAATCTGAAAGTCACCCTTCTCTGCCCCTGCCCGCCATCTCCCACAGCCCATCAATAGCAGGTATTGTGGAGTCTGCCTCCTAAATATCTCTGGATTCCATCCACATCTCATCTTTTTCATTTCCACTCCTCTAGTCTAAGCCACCTTCCTATTGCCAGTCTGCGCTAACTGCTTTTCCTCTTCCTATTCTTTCCTCCAATTCATTCTCTACCCAGTAGCCAGAGCCATTTCAGAAACAGAGTCCTGATCAAGTCCCTCCCCTGCTTTAAACCATCTGGTGGCTTTCCATTGTCTTCCCGCTAAATTTCAACATGTCCCCTGCTGACCTCCTCAGACACATCTCCTGCCATGTTCCCTCTTGCTGTTTGCAGTCCAGTCACCAAACACCCCATCATACTAAACTGCTCCCAGTTCCATTACTGTAACTCACTCTTCCTTTCAGATTTTCCCACCACCTGTTCTTGCTGGGAATACTCCCCACCTTCTTCCCATCAGTACTCTGGCCTGAGTGTTCTCAGGTGCCGACTGAATTGTCACTTTTCCAGCGACACCTTCCTTGACCCAGTTAGCTAGGTTAGGCCCTCTTTACATGCTTTCTCTTAGTACTCCACTACTTCCTCTCTCATCACACTCATCACACTTTATGGAAATTGCTTGTTTAATGTCAACCTTTCCCATGATGCTAAGGACTCAACCTTGGGGAATTAAAAAAAAGAAAGAGAAATACTGATGCCAGCACCCTACCAAGTGAGTCAGAATCCCTGGGAATGGAAGGAGGTGTGGTCAGTTTATTTTTGTAGCTTTTTATTTTGCTGTCAGATATACAGAAAAGTTGTGAAAAGAACATAAATAACTCTCCTATATCTTTTACCCAGATTCACCAATTGTTCACATTTTACTTTATTTTCTTTACCTTCCTCTCTCTGATTCTCTACCTCTCCATGTATAAGTTTTTCTAAATCTTTCTGGATTTAGTTGTAGATATTGTGTGCTTTTACCCCTATTTACGTCAGTGTGTGTTTCCTAAGAACAAGGACATTCTCATATTAATGCAGTATGTGGTAAAAAATCAGGAAATTTAACATCGATTCAAACCTATTATCTAATTCAGAGTTCATATTCAAGTGTGATCAGGTGTCCCAACAATGTTCTCATTGAAGGGATAATTTTCCCAAGAAGCAGACTGGGCTGGAGATGAATGTGCAGGAATTTCTTTAGGGAGTGTTCTCAGGCTCAACACTTTGGAAGGGAAGAAAGAGAAGTAAGCTCTATTAGAAGAAGAAATGGGACTGTGATGTAGTCTCAAAAAAAGTCTAGGCCAACCCTTTGGGGCCCCTGAAGCTGTAATGGCCTCTTAAAGTTGTCCTGAGATAAGATGTGAGACCTGGCCCTTTATACTTTGTACATTGTATGCTTTCTACATTGATCACTTATTGGATCTGGGCTGCCCTGGGGAAGGAAGCACGACTCTGTGCGAGGCAGACCTCTACAGCTTAGGGCAACTTCTGAGGACTGTCAGCCAGTAGCACCCTCATTCGCTGGAGGAATGAGCCCGTCGGTCATACAAGGGTCATGGCGGCGCATCACAGCTTCCACTGTGATCTCCGTTTGAACTGCTCTGATCCAGCTCTCCCTCTCAATTCTGGGAAAAGTTCTACCAAGATCCTGTTGGACCTCTTTTCCTAGGGGAAGTGGATTAGAAGGTTAGTAGGATAAATTACAGCCCTAGCTGTAAGCAGTTGGAGCCCAAACAGCTGGGGACACAACAGATACTCACCCTCTACTACCCGTCCTGGATTGCACATTCTCTGCCACCATCTTTGCTGAGCAGATGGCTTCCCTTTGGCATAACCCAGTTCTCATTGCTGAGGCCTCTGAGCTCCTGATCTTCTTGCCCTTCTTAAGCTTTACTACTGTATTTGTCCATTTATCATCAAGATGAGCAAGGAAATACCCCGGTGGATGACCAGGTTGCCATCGCAGCCTTCTCTGTCCCACTACATAGCAGCGGCCCTCCGCCTTCTGATCATCAGTGTCCTCACGGCCAGCTTCCGGGTGACGGGTTCAGAATCCCACACGGGCATCTGTTTTCTTGGACCACTCCTGCCATTGTTGCACGTTGGGTTTCCTGAATAGCAGACTCTGAGATGGAGATCAGCACAGAGGAATTGAATTAAGGAGTATTCCTGGGACCAGTGCCTGCAACAGGGAAGGAAAGGAAGCAATATTGGGTAGAAGAAGGAAATGGATTATGATGCAATCTCAACAGATTCCTA